ACGAGAGGGTGGTGAAAGCCATGCGGGAACTGGGAGAAGGGACCCTGAGGTCGGACGAATGGGAGAAGCAAGGAGAGTTGATCCTATACCGAGGAAAGGTGTACATACCGAGAGACCAGCAACTCCGCCATGACCTGGTACGGTTGCACCACGACGCACAGGCAACGGGGCATCCGGGGCGATGGAAAACCCTAGAACTCGTTTCCTGTGACTACTGGTGGCCCCGGATGGCAGAGTACGTCGGGCAGTACGTACGCAGGTGCGATACCTGCAACCGAGTCAAACCTTTCCCCTCACGAAAGGTTGGGAAGCTCACCCCAAACAGAGTCCCCACCCACCGCTGGCAGATAATCTCAGTGGACATGGTAGGAGAGCTCCCAGAGTCGAAGGGGTACAATGCCATCCTGGTCGTGGTGGACCGCTTGTCCAAACGCATCCATGCGATCCCCACTGTAACGACGATAGACTCAGCGGGCGTAGCGCGGCTCTTCCTAGAACACATCTGGAAGCATCACGGGCTCCCAGAAGAGATCCTCAGTGACAGAGGGAGTGCCTTCGTCTCCCACTTCTCGAGAGAGCTCGCAGACCTCCTCGGAGTCAAACTCACCCCTTCAACACCCTACCACCCCCAGACGGACAGACAAACCGAGCGGGTCAACCAAGAAATCGAAGCCTACCTCCGAGTGTTTGTCAACCACCGCCAGGATGACTGGGCAGACTGGCTCCCGCTAGCAGAATTTGCCTACAACAATCGCATCCACTCGTCCACCCACCGGACCCCCTTCGAACTCGACACCGGGCAACACCCCAGGATGGGGACAGAACCCACCCATACGTCCGAAGTGGAGGCTGCTGATGCCTTTTCATCAAGGATGATGAAAATGCAGGAGGAGGCGAAGGCGGCGCTAGAACATGCAGCAGACGAGATGGCCCGCTATTACGATCGGGGCCATGATGCAGCCCCCAAGTACCAAGAGGGTGACCAAGTCTGGCTCAATGCCCAGAACTACACGACCGACCGCCCCACCAAGAAACTAGACCACAAATGGCTCGGCCCCTTCAAGATAGTCAAAGTCGTCTCCCCTGCCGCTGTCAAACTCCAACTCACCGCACGACAGAAAGGGATCCACCCGGTTGTATCTGTAACAAACATCAGGCCCCACCACCTGGATGAAATCGCAGAACGACCCCTCGACCCCCGCCCGGGCCCGGAACTTGTAGATGGAGAAGAGGAGTACGAAGTTGAAAAGGTATTAGACTCCAAATGGCTACGCCGGAAACTCTGGTACCTGGTAAAATTCACGGGCTGGCCAAACTCAGAGAACCAGTGGCTCCAGCGGGACCACTTAACCCACACCCCCGACCGAATCGAGGAATTCCACAGAATGCACCCCCAAGCCCCAGGGAGAGAGAGGGAGAACCACCTGGCCGCTTCGAGGCGAAGCAGCTTAAGGAGGGGGTGATGTCAGGGCACACCCACCTGACCCGGCCCCACCTAACCCGGTGCCCCACCATCCGCTCCTCCCGACCTCCCCCTCTTTTCCCTTCCCTTTCTTCTTCCCCTTCTTTTCTATTCTCTCTCCTCTTTATTCCTTTCTTATCACACGGACGACTTCCTTTGTATCAATGTACCATTGACCCAGCTGCAGTGTAACGTGCCCGAACCCAGACACACCGGACGACCCCCTGCATACCAGATGCTCCTAGGACCTCTTACGGAGGTACCCGGACGGAGGTGGCTGTGTGCTTGGATGACGTGGCGCTTCCCATGTGGCCTTCAACCACATGTATATAAACACAGCCTAAGTGGGAACTGAGAAGCAACCTTCTTCTCACATTTCCCACTTTAGGCAAGTAGCTTACACTTCCCCTGATAATAACAATAACACATTTCCCACTTTAGTCTCAGTGGCCAGGGACCCTTGTCTGCTTCGGGCCCGCTGTTACACGCGCCTGCGTCATACCTACCGGACCCTCAGCCTCGGGCGATACACCCGGGCGCTCTCGACCCTGGGTCGGTCCCTGACAGATGGACCATGGCAGGAATTTTAGGGAACGATATTCTAATGAAGTGGAGAGCTATAAATGTCGCTGAATAAAAATGGAATAAATCAGCTGAAGGTCTCAGTGCAGCCATACGCATAGTAATGCGAAGTTTGAATTCAGAATCACCGAGTCATAGCAAATTTAATGGTAAATATGAGGAATTTGAAATAGGAAACTGTGACAAATGCAGTGCAGTCAAGTTCTAATTAACCATTAAAATAGCTTAGGCAAGGAAGGACAATAAGGATTCTAGGTGCAGTCTGACCACAGTAGAACTGCAGTTCAGCGCAGCAAAGCTCAGTAGAACTATAGTGTGAAAATTTCATTTTTTATAAACTGTTTGAGAAAAATACACTGTAAATAAATCCTGTAAATAGAAGGTAGAGCATGAAAAAGGAAGGCGACCCAAGGAGTATAAAAGGAAGATCCTTTCTGCAACTTTTCGCCCCCCTTAGAGAAGTAAGAAAATAGAGTATTATTTTTCTCAAGCATTTCTGGTTGTCACTCCAGCGCGAAAAAGTGATATACAGTTAAGATTGCCACTGTAGTAAAAGGCAGCAATTAAGGAGAGAAATATTAAGTAGATATTTCAACAGGAGAGCTGGTTAACACTCCAGATTTCAAAGTGTAAACACAAAACAGTTATTTTGCTACTGTTAAAAATGAGCAATAAAATAAGAAAAAATTAAAACAAACTCAAGGGACACTCCAGACACAATCCAAATCCATTAACTAGTAGTATCTTTGAAACTTCACCAAGTAGAAGATTTAATTCAAGTTAAATTCCAAATCAAACAGCGCTACACAGAATTACACCTAGACAAATTAAGAAATTTCAATAAAGGAACAGCTCCGCAGGGCTCAGTTTATCTGTAAGTCAATTCCCAGAAACTTTAAGACTAACCCATAAAAATAGAATTAGCCAAAACACTCGGATTGGTACTATATTTACAACAAATACTACTAGTACACTTCCCCATCCTAACTAAAGAACTAGGGAACAGCTTGGTGGTGGTCTCGTTTGAACCTCCCAACTGACCTTCCTTCGTTCTCTCCTTCAGAGGAGGGAGGGGGAAGATCCGGGATATGACACCATCCAAAGTGACTTGCCACTGATCCACCTTTTGCTTCATGCCCTTTTGTGTTTTGTATTTGATTGTTTCATGACAGGAAACAAAGGAATGGTGAATGAATCCATTCCATCCAGTTGTCCCCTTCAAAATCATTCTGACTTGATGAGCACACAAGAAGGTGGGTATTGCATTTCCTGCACTGATCCTCCATTGTTACAGGGTTGTTCCCATGGATTGGCCAAATCCCATTTTTCTTTTATTGTCAATGGCCTTCCTTGAATACATCTTCAGCTGTAAAGCAATACAGTTTTGAACCTGTTACTTGACAGTGTACATTATGCCCTTCTATACCTAGAGGGAATACAGTCTTACAATATTAATGAAGTCTTCCTTCCCATCAGCACTTGGAGTCCTGCGGTTTGTCATTTCTTATTATTGATCCTATTTTTTTTTTCATAAACATTTTAATCCATTTTGGAAGAAACCCTTCAAAGACAGAGTGTATAATGCAGCCAACGGGTTCTTCGTTCAACATAGCAAGAATGAACAATTTGATCAAAATACCTCCGGTCATATGGTTGTCACTGACTGTTATTTGAAATGCCTCACCGAATTGAGAGGTTCTGGCCTCAAAAAAGTGGGATTCAAACTCTCCACTGTTGTGCATCATTGGGGCGGGAGATATTCCTTGTTCATCTGAATGCTCATTGGGTTCTTCCCCTTCCAACAAGAAATTTTGTACCTTCACCAGAACATTCCTCCTTTGTTTTTCCCTTTATGTCTTCATATTTTTTTCCCCATTTAACGACCTTTTCACATTTTGATGTATATTGTATCGATAGCTGTTACATTTCTTGTCTCTATCATGAACCCGGAGTGCCACTGAAGCTTTGATCTCAGCGTCATGTTTGAACTTCAACACCCATTACGTTGAACAATACAACTGACAAGGATGTTGAGGGGCAGTGCAGGTCAGCGCGTGCGAAGACACGCACTCTAGTTCTGGATATTTATCCTGAAAACTATAAGCTGCTCGTGAGAGTGCTAAGGGCAGGGTCGGGGTAAATACATGAAAATATAAAGAGGTAAGTCCGATTCGGGTGTGCTTGTCCGTTCTGTCCAAGGAATGCACCAAACACTGCTCCACTCTCAAGTCGTCACGATCCATAACGGATGGATGTCTAGATACCAAGATGATGTGCAGAGAGAATCTGCAAGAGACACATAAAATCAGCAACCCATGTTCATACACAACTCGAGCCTGCAATTGTGACGCACCACATTTTGTGTGGTACGATCATTGGCCATGATGGTCGACGGATCTGTCGTGAGATAGATCTTGTTAGCGTACCAATCTCCCCTCATAATTGATAGCGTTAGCGTGTCTGTGTGGAAGTGCCCCAAGTGAGTGTCGCGGTGCAATGTGGATAAAGAGACCCTTCGCTGCCAAGGGTATGAATCCCCGAATGGAATAAAAGAGACACTCACTGGTATTATTATCCGCCCATCCAGTGGCTGTGATAATGGAAGTTGTAGGATCGTACTGCCAAAACGCCGTCAGAAAGTGCTTTCCAGAAGAGGAAACCACGCCATCAGATTGAGGGGTGTCATTGGCTTGAGCTGGGTTTGACGTTTAAGGGGAATTAGATCAAGTTAGGCGGTGAGTGCTCCCGGACTGACGTACTTGGCACTGATGAAGTTCCCAAAAAAGCATATGTTCCCTTCCCAGTACCGAGTGCAACCCCCGGATCTACGAGACCTGCCAAATAGCCATTCTGGAGAAATTGCATTTGGAGATTGAAACGGGGGGGGGAAGAGATAACGCACTGAATTACTCCGAAAGCTCACGCTCTGACTGATGCCATTTTTATGGAAGAAGGCCGAGAAAGTATCGCCGTGGGCCTCCGCCCCTATTGAGTACCACCCGTTGGTGAACTCGAGGTATCCAAGTGATTTCCCGCCTTGCGTGGAATTTATTTGAATTTTGCCGCTCCAGTAGTATGTGTCGCTGCCCTGTGCCCTTTTGGCAGCTGGAGATCAAACCGAATTATAATCCCGCCATACATCTTCGTGCTACGTGTCAGTGAAGTGGCTGCAGACTTACTCTCAGTTGGTGAAGCTTCAATATTCCACCTCCTAGCTGGGGGCAAAGGAGGCAAGCCCCTCGCGAGTCGCTGCGCGTTCGTTTCTCCGTGAATAGGGTCCCGGAGCTGAGGCGCAAGGCGGCGTAACACCTTCCGTTGAGGAAAGGGGAAGGCGAAGACAGAAGCCGTAAAGAGAAACAAGAAAAGAGCAGCGCCCTTGAACATGTTCGAAAACCCCGCCGTAGCTTGAGGGAAGAAAAAAAGGTGAGCCTTTAAATGAGAAATCCCAGGGTGGAAGAAATGGAAAAATCTTGATGGCGAAATATTAAATATTGATCTCGCTTAATCCTCCATATTTGTGCCAGTGGACACGAATCGGCATTATCAGTACTGAATAGTTGTGCAAGCGCACAGAATTGCAGCACGTTGCGCGTCTAGAAATCCGGGGTGCGACCATTAGTCGGGTGTTATGTTTGTCAAAAAGGAAAGGTAGAGATGGGCGAAACCGACGTCAACATCAGTTCCTAGCGCTCACCTACAAGGTAACTATATTACCAATTAAGTTTTCTTCGCCCTACGTGCCAGAGACTGAACGCGACAAAGTGGACACCCCCCGCACGGGTTCATTCAGAATTATTAGCGAGATCTTCTTATGAAACCTGCGGAAGTGCTGATAGGATGCAGTTACAGAGGCTGGTCATGGTACCTGCCTAGCAGCTTGTGCCTATCGCTTATGGCTCTATCTCCATCATATGAATGATAAGTCCTGTCTGACTCCGCTTTACGCATGTGTGATGCAGATGGCTGCTTTCTTCATCCGTGACAACTCCGGTAACACTGCTTCTGAATTGAAGATATTGGTATTGTCCTGTGTCCTAGTGCACATGTCCCTTGCAGGATTTTTTGTTGGTGGGAACCTTCTACAACATGCACAACAAGATTCTACCTGAAAGTTTGTGGTGGGAGGGCTGTGCCTGTTGGAGAGCAGTGCGTGAACCTACAAAACAGTGACCTGAGGGCAAAAAATCACGTGTTTGATGGATTTACACAAATATGGATACTGTACTCACGCGTCACACGAGTATAGCGGTTCAAAAGTCCGGTGTCATGCCACTTGGGCAAACCCATTCATAATGAGCAGTGGGACTTGGAAGGCAGGCCAGAATGAAATGATATGCACACGACCAACTACCTGTCACATGTCACGCTGGCCTCGCGGTCCGGCCAATTTGACCATTATGTCACATATCATGCTGGGCAGCAACCGGTGTCACACAACACATCACTGGTGGCATGGTGACGATGCAAATGTATTTTTTTGAGTACATACTTAGATTAGAAACGAAAAATCGCCAATTCCTCATCCCAATTGCGTGCCTGTCTAACTTGCATTCCATGGCCGAGGTCACTAGGGGTGCCATGGTTCTCAGAGAACTGTTTTGAACCGGGACCGAACTGAGAACCAAACCGTGCTGGAACCGAACTGTGGTTCGGTTTTGACCCAGTTCTCTCATGGTTCAGTTTTGGTTCTCTAAGTTAGGGGGAAAATGTGAACCGGTTCTGAACCGAACCGAACCAGAGAACCGTAGGAATGTTGTCATGCTCCAAACCTTACTAGTATCTTACATCACACAAATGAAAAATGTGCAAAGGCTCTGACAATTTTAAATTATTCTGCCAGTCATATTCAGGGATGGCCGAAAAATCACAAATGGAAATTGTTTTCAGCTCTTACACCTTTGCATCTATTTTAAACATCCTTGAGATGGATACTCACTCTGACAATGGAAGTGAGTGGCACACAGACCCTGAAAACCCAATGCTGGGTCCAGATGGTAAACTACGTGATGCTACTGAGAAACCGGATCAATTTGTCTACAGTCCTTTGGATACTTTGCCACACCCTTGTCAGGGCACACCCGCTTGACCCGCCTCCACCCGGGCCCACCTCACCCGGTTCCCCTTCTCCCACCCTGCACCCCTCCTTCATACCCCTTCCCCCTCTATCCCTCTCCCACTTCCACTTCTATTTCCATTTCTATTTCTATTTCTATTTCTACTTCACACGGACGACCTTTCCCTTATATCCATGTATTATTGACCCGCCCACGACATGCACACGACATGCCTAGCCCCGGACGACCCTGGACGGCTCTAGGGCGCAACCTAGTGTGCGCGCGTGCAGCATACACCCTCGGGATCCCCCATGGGGACACCCGGGTGACTGTGGCTGTATGCGGGGTGACGTGGCGGACCTCATGTGACCCAAGCCGCATGTATATAAACACACCTGGGGTGGGAACCGAAGAAGTAACCTTCTTCTCAACATTCCCACTTCAGGTAAGTAGCATAGTTCCCCTTTTAATAATAACTCAACATTCCCACTTCAGTCTAAGTGGCCAGGGATCGCTGTCCCACATCGGGGCTGCCAGTACGCACGCCCGATCCACCCCCCGTGAGGTCCTCAGCACCGGATGCTACGCCCGGACCGCCTTGACCCTGGACGCGACCCTGACAACCCTCCTCTAATTCTGAGGGCTATAATCCAGATGATGACCTACCTACTGCTCATCAAATAGTGCAAAGGCCAAAGTGGACCATAAAGCAAATTACTTGAGAAAATCCAGTTGAAGCATTCGAGCACCAAAAACTTGCTTCCAAGAATAAAAATAGGCCTAACACTTCACGGAATAGAGATGTTGGTATTACTCAACAGACCCTGGAAGCATTCTCAGTTGGACATCAACCAAACAATCTTGGGCTACTGGGGAACTTGAGACAGCCCACAAAGACAGCAGAGCTCGGCTATGTGTCAGGGGACGACTCCCAGGTCCCCATGACCCTCCCCTATGGTCCACAGCCTGTAGTGTAACCAGCCCTGTCCAGGGCACAACCTACTGTGGGTCAGAGATGATATATAAAAGAGAGGCAAGTATATACAACTTGCCTACTGTGGGTCAGAGATGAGAAGGAAGTTAACTTCTCATCTTCCCACAGTGGCCACAATACATCGAAAGAAGTCACATGAGACCCGAGACCCGAGGTCCGGGCCATCCGGCCGCACTGAGCATCCGGCACAGGGCGCGCGCGGGGAGTGCAACAGCCGGGTGCAGTCACGGGTGTGGGTGCGAGTGCGGGTGTGGATGCGGTATGGGCTAGGTCAGGGTGTATGCCCTGACACTATGTCACAACATCCAGGGTGTTAGATACATGTCAGGGAACATGCATGCTCATGCAGGTTGCTCTGATAACCTAGTTGTGATTAAAGCTGGGGGAAAGGAAGGTCCCCATCTTAGAGTCAGCTATTGTCAGGGCACACCCGCCTGACCCGGGTCCACCTGGACCCACCCAGCCACACCACACCCGCTCCCCGCTGTCCAACCCTCTCCCTCCTCCCTCCTCTGTCTCTCCTCCCCTTTCCTTTTCTCTCTTTCTTCCCCTTTCTTTATCTCATTCCTCTCATCTTCCTTTTCTTGTTTATTTCCTTCTATCTACACGGACCACCTTCCTTTGTATCAATGTACTATTGACCCATCTGGCCCACACACCCCGGACGGTCCCCTGCTGTGCCCAGCACGTGCGCATGCAGCGGATGCTCTCGGGATCCCCCGCGGGGATACCCGGATGCCTGCGGCTGTCTCCGAGGGTGACGTGGCACTCGTCATGTGACTCAAGCCGCATGTACATAAATGTACCTGAAGTGGGAACCGAAAAAGTAACCTTCTTCTCACATTCTCCACTTCAGTCTAAGTGGCCAGGGACTGCTGTCCCTTCCCGGACCCGCCAGCATGCACGCCCGGTTTGCACCCTGCGAGGGCCCTTCTGCTGGGCGATACATCCAGACCCCCTCTACCTTGGACGCGTCCCTGACAGCTATATACATGTAGAGTCTGTTAGAACTGGGCAAGGGCGGATGATTCCAGAGGGGAACCGGAGACTTAGCAAGGAGGGACCTTGGCCTCAGTGACTCAGGCGGAGCGCTGTGCCATTGCTGTTTGTCCATTTGGTCCTTAATTTCATAGGAGGCAAGCAGGAAGTCTCTAGGGGCATTTCAGGTCGATTTTAGACTAAGGACTAAAACGAGTATGTACAAGCGCCGATATATATAATGGAGAGGGTGAAAGCATAAGGAAACAAAGGGGATCTGAATCGGAACGAAGGCATCTGAATGGGAACAAAGGGATGACAGAAGCGGAGCGGTACCGAAGGTCATAGGGCTGAACCTGTGGTACATCCGAAAGGAGGTAAGGAGGGTGAAGCCCAGAGGGGCAGGAGGATGAGGGGAAGTGGGGATGATGACTAACTGGCTAGAATGGGAAGAAGCAGCAGTCCAAATAGGGATGAGGGGAAAACGCAAGAGATACATTACAAGCGGTGAAAGTGCTGAAGATGATCCGTGGAGCTTGGAGGTTGCAGAGCTTACGGAGGTTACGGAGGCAGGGTTGAAAGTCCAAGGAATATTGGCAATGGTGTTTACGTAGTATGAGGTCACCAATGCAATGGACTAAGGCCAAGGTGGAGTCAAAGTCCGAGGTAGGAGCTATGATGGAGGCTTGGAGCAAAGCTACAAGTGGTGTCCGAGTACGAGGTACAGGACAGCGGTGGAAGGTCATAACTTGGCAGGAGGTTGGCAGAAGAGGGCCAGAGGGAAGATGTCACAGCCGTGCATTCCGGCCCGTTCCCCGCCCGTCCCGATGCCGCCTGAGCCTGTTCCCGCTATGCAAGCGTGAGCGCGAGCCCCGACCCCGGCTCTATCCTCCATGAGGACTCCCTGCTCACTCCCCCACTTGCCCCTAGGCTCTGCCGACTCCCCTGCTGCCACACCAACCTTCCTACCCCGAGTCCGCCTCCAGCACCGTGCCCAGCGCGACTCCTCTACCCCGCCCACTTGGCCCCTACAGGGCCGCTACCATTCCCGCACCCGACCCCGGCCCAACTCCGAGTCCGGCGCCGCTACAATACCATCGCCGCTATCGCAGCCCTACGCTCTTTCCTTTATTTATCTGTTATTGTTTGTTTTGACCCTCGGTCATTGCCGGCCGCTATGCGGCCAACCCCGCTCCTTATTCTTGTTTGCTTCCGGACCCTTCGGCCTCCGGCCCGGGTCCGCTTCCATTCATTTCTTCTTCCTATATATATCCTGTATGATACTTTATTGTACCTTAGCTCTAATATCGATGTGACCACGACCCCTAAGTCCTGACCCCAGCAAGGCAACCCCAGTGAGTCTGAAATGAGGGCCAAGAGACAGCTAGGGGGCACAGCACTCCCTTTAGAGTTGCTGAGGCCGAATGCCCTACCCTCGGGCCTTGTTCACGGCATCACGGCCATTGCGGCCTATAGCGGCCCGCAACGGCGACCTTCGGTGCCGACCCCAGACCAGTGTCTAACAGAAGAGAGAGGAAAGAGGAAGGAGGAAAGGTGTGGAGGAGAGGAAAGGTGTCAGGTCCGAAGGTGAGTATCGGAGCAGACAGGAGAAGAGTAGGAGAGTGACGGAAGGGTGGAGGTGTTGTGAGGAGGAAGAGAAGTAGTGGGAGGA